CTCTCTCTCTCTCTCTCTCTCTCTCTCTCTCTCTCTCTCTCCATAGTCTTCCCCGGAGGCCCTTAGGGTCTCACTATAGGGTCCTCAGTGAACAGTCCTCACACAGAGGTGACTTCCCAAAGTTTGAGTACAGACTGTCCTGTTCTAACCAATCCTTTCTCCCCTCTCTACCCTCCTTCTCTCTCTTTTTCCCCAGCTTTAACCTGCTCAGCTTTGCAAAGGGCCTGAAGCCATGGCGTGACACTTTGGTGCAGAACACAGATGCAGTATGTCATGAGGCTATGCAATGGGTGGCCCAGCTGCAAGCTCAGGGGACTACCTCAGTCTTACCAGCATTAATGGCAAGTGCCACCACTGAGCCTGACTCTGCATCAGAACAGAAATAGCATTGCCCCATACTGATATTCCATGATGCTTTGGGCTTTACAGCATGTTCCTACTTCACGTCATCTATCAATCACCCTTGTTCTCACTTTGAGATGAGGACACAGGCTCAGAGAGGTTAAGTGGCTTGCTTGGGACTAACCAGATAGGAAGCAGTCTGTGCTCCCTCTGAACCCTCAGCAGCTCCCCTGAAAGAGGCATCTGCTCCCCTGAAAGAGCAACTAAAGAGACATCTCTTAAAATTTTTCTTTATTAACAGGGTGGTGAGGGTACACATGTGGAAGTCAAAGGACAACTTTATGGACTCAGTTCTCTCCTTCCACCTTTATATGGGTTCCAGGGGTCAAACTCAAGTGGCTAGGCTTACATGGCAAGTACTTTACCCACTGAGCCATCTCGCCAGCCCAGAATCTCAGTCTAAATGGATAAGTTTGTAGCATCCACTCAGACACATTTTCCTTGGGGACAGAGGGGACTCCACTGGACTCCATTGCCCTTCCTAGTGAACCTCCCTTCCCAAGCCTGACAACTCTCTTATGCACTCTCAGAAAGCCTTCAGCTTTCAGGACGTGCAAGGACTGTACCTCCTGACCGATGGGAAGCCAGACACAAGCTGCAACCTGGTTCTCAGCACTGTCCTGAAGCTCCAGAAGAATAGAGACGTGAAGGTGCATACCATCTCCCTGACCAGCACAGACAGGTGAGCAGCAGGAGGTGGCTGAGCTTGCTGGACCCAAAGTCACAAGTCCAAAGAGGAGGTCTGAGCTCTTTTGCTAACCCAGGGCCTCCCTTAGACACAGCTCTCCCTTGGGCCCTTGTCCTACAAGTCAAAAATTAGGAGGTTCATTGCTTGAAGTCTGAGCAGATAATTAAACCACAGAATAGAAGCCCCTCTCCCCACCCCAGACTGACCAGTCAACAGGCCACTCTTTGTGCTTCTGATGCACCCCAGTTCATCCACCCTTCTGATTCTTCTTTGGGAAAACGTGTGACTATTTGGGGAACAAGCTAGAGAAGAAGGCATTAGCCTCCTAACACATCTCCCTGTATGTACGTTTGGGACATGGCCAAACTACAGTGTCCACACCCCCAAAGAAAATTAGCTCTCCCTCCCCCAGCAGCCATCAACTACCAATAGCTCTTTGGCTGGCGGGGTGGCTTCAAAGCCCCTCCCCCATCCATGCTGGAGTTTTAAGTGGCTTGATCTTGATGCAATTATTACTATAAATGGTCACTTAGAAGAACATGTGTTAGATAAGATGCAGCACCGCCAAAAACTTCTTTATCACCAGAGTTAGGGGCATACATATCTCAGTGGTAGGTCAATCAGGAGAAAATAAACTTTATTGTTAGCAAGATTGATTACTCTCTGACTAAACTATAAATTCCATTAAGCCTCACACATAGTGGATACTGGAGAGTGGTCCAGTAAAGGATGGGGGCAGAATATACAGGCTGTACGCTTTGAGAAAGCCTGGGCTAAATAGAGCCTGGGCCCTGGTGATTCTCCACACTCCAACTGAAAAAGTGTACTCAGAGTTGCTAACAGTGGTCACGAAGGTATAAACTGAGACCACTTTCCAGGCCACTGTCCCTTAAGCCCCACAAGACTTATGGTTCCCCGTGGGCCAGGGATGCAGCCTGCCTCCTGTAGCTTCTGGGAGCTCCCGAGTCTCTGTTCCACCCCTAGCACAGCAGCCGAGTTCCTGAGGAAGCTGGCTTCTCTCACTGGGGGACGTTACCACTGCCCAGTTGATGAAGACACCCTGAGCGGAATTCACGGCCTGCTTACCAGAGGTTTCATCGAGGAAAAGGTAGGTCAGCAGCCAACAAGTGCGAGTATGTCGAAGTGACTGCGTGAAACTCTACCACGTGGGCTTCCTTCTAACTGAGAGCTCGGCTTCTCTTGTGACACACAACGCTGACCAAAAAGGGCATGTTTCCCTGTCGCTGTTCTTTGCAGCCACTTCCCCTTGAGGATGGTAAAGACACAGAGATTGTCAGACCAACTTCCACCTTGGAGCACTTACATGTGCAAATACATCACTTTTCTTAGATGACCTCTTTCAATCCTCCCAGCCGCTCTTAGACCCAAAACCTTACACTCATCATATAGTCAGCTGCATGGTTTGAGGAATAGGTGCAAAGTCAGAAGACAGGCAAAGCCACATCCTAAGACATGGTACTCAGAACCTCTGAGTTTTATTTAACAGCTGTGGGTTCCTGACTTCAGTATTCAGTCTCTGAAACACAGGGGTTCAGATCAGTCCTCAATTAGCTACTCTGTAATGAGCATTGAGAAGTCGTAGGTTTCAGGGATCCTCCTTCCATTTGGCAGAAAAAATGGTGCCTGTATTTGACTTTGGTTTGGTGTTTTTGGTTTTTTAATTTTATTTTATGTGTATGAGTGTTTTGCTGGCATTTAAGTGCACCACGTATATGCAATGGCCAAGGAGGTCAGAAGAAGGCATCAGATCTCCTGGAACTGGAGTTACAGGTGGTTCGTAGCTGCCATGTGGGTGCTGGGAACTGAACCCAGGTCCTCTGCAAGAGCAGCCAGTGCTCGTAACTGCTGAGCCAGCTCTCCAGTCCCTGGTTTTGGTTTTTTGAAGCAATGTTTTGCTGTGCAGCTCAGGCTGGCCTTGAACTCTCAATCCTCCTGCCTCTACCTCTCAAGTATGGTGATTACAGTTGTGCGCCTGGCTCAACTGCTGTATTTTTTTTTTTCTAGCAGTGCTGGAGACTGAACCCAGGGCCTATCTAAGCACTCTACCACTGAAGTGCATCCCCAGATCCCCAGCCCTTGGTTTTTGAGAGAGGGTCTCATGTAGCCTAGGCTGGCCTCACTGTCATTAAGGCTAGCTTTGAACTCTGATCCTCCTGCTTCCGTCTTTCTAGTATGGGGTTACAGATATGGCCGGGTATAGCTGCTGCCAGGGAGCAAACAGCTTCCTCCCCTTCTCTTTTTTTTTTATACTAATAAATAAATTAAACATTTTTTTTTGGTCTTTTTGAGACAGGGTCTCCCTGTAGCCCCAGCTGTCGTGGAACTCACTATGTAGACCAGGCTGGCCTTGAACTCACAGAGATCCACCTGCCTCTGCCTCCCGAGTGCTGGAATTAAAGGCATGCACCACCACACCCGCCATCCTCTCCTTCTCAAAGCTGGTAAATCAGGAGCCTGTTTAGAGATAGGCTTTGGAGTTTCAGTAGTTAGTATTTTCAAAAGCTGGTCTGTGAAGCTCACTTTTACTAAAAAAAAATGGGAAGGGGCTGGAGAGGTGGCTCAGTGGTTAAAAACACTGACTGTTCTTGCAGAAGACTCGGGTTGGGATCCCAGCACCCACATGGTGGCTAACAACTGTCCAGTAACTCCAATTCCAGGGGATCCAACAGCCTCTTCTGACCTCCGCCGGGATTGCACAGCACGGGTACACTTACCTACATCCAGGCAGTACACACATACACATAAAATAAATTTTTAAAAAAGATGGGGAAAACAGCTGAAAGTATTTTACTGATTGACAAGCAGTTTAAATAAGGCATATGCCAGTTTTGTCTGCTGGGCCCAGAGACATGTCAAATTCACCCATGTTTGGGCACTATCTTGGTTCTGCCCCCCCCCCG